CCAGCAGCCTCCCCGAGGGCAGGGTGGGTAGACCAGCAGCCTCCCCGAGGGCGGGTAGACCAGCAGCCTCCCCGAGGGCGGGTAGACCAGCAGCCGCTCCGAGGGCCAGCAGCTCCGGCCTGCCGCCCCAGATGACGCTCCACCCCATACCTAGCCAGCTCGGGGCTGCTGTGTCCCCACTGAGGCCTTGAGGGTCGTGAGAACAGAGGTTCTGTCTGCCCACATGCAGCCCTAGAATGCCAGGGGCACACAGCAGGGCTCCCCACGAGTCCATGCAGCGCCTGACCGCGGGGGCGTGGGGCCTCACGACCAGCGTCACTGGCTTCTGCCCGCAGGGAATGCCGAGGCCAGAGCCGAGTCCAGGTCGGCTGTGCACCTGCTCTAAGCCGGGCACGTGAAAGCGAGACAAGGCTAACGGGGCGCACAGAGACAGTGGACAAAATCGGTGGCGTCCAGGGCGCCGGAGAGAGACGGTCAGGCCTAGAGGGCGCGGGGGTGGGAGAGGGGCCTGCTTTCCTGGCCAGGCCAGGTGGGAGAGCCGGCGGCTGGCCACTGGGGAGCGTGTGTGGTTAGTGCAGTTGGCATCCTCAGAAGAGGCCAGGGCAGGACAAACAGATGGACGCGCTGTTCAGAGTGTAGGTGCAGGCTAGTGGTCAGTCCACCCCTACGCGTCTGGGCCCAGACCAAAGTCCACTACTGTGTCCTTCTCCCCCGCCTGCCTTTCCCTGTTTCCTCCCCCTCCCCAGCCCTGCTCCTCTTGTCCCACTGTGCCCTTGGCTGGGCATTCTGCCCGATCTCTGGTGACTGGAACAGCGACGGGGCGCAGGGTGGCACCCCCTGCCCCCCAGCCTGTGGGCCTCAGGGGCCAGCTGCCCTCCCGCGTGGGCACACACCGTGGCCGGGCCGTGCTCTGAAGTTAACGTAGAAGCGTGTGAGCTCGTGCTCAGGCTCGGGGCGTGGGGACGCCGCCGGGGGCGCGGGGTCCCTGCCGGACGGCCGGCGACTGCTGCAGCCCCGTGCGCGGCTTCGGGCTTTGG